CATTTAAAAATGTCTAAACTATGAGCTATAAACAAACGTTTTCTCAGATGAATGACTAAAAATGGCTTCCAGCGAATGAATTCTTTAGGTTTTATAGAAGCATGCCTTTCAACCGATCCTATAGAACGGTGCTACAGAATCACAAAAAGTCTCAGTAAATAATAAAACCCACGTAATTTATATATTGTGTCAAACTAATGTAAGCTTGAGGACTTCCAGAAGCAGCAACCACTAAAATGGATAGCACATCTAACCCCAAGGCTAAATAATGATATAATGAAAAATGTTGACTTTCAACATTGCCTTAAAGAAGAGTTCACAAAGAAAGCCCCAGCCGGCTTCATAAGTCGATTTTCACGGAAAAAAACTGTTTTAAGGGAAAGTTCTTATAAATTTCAACCAACATTATCGATAAATGTTCGATCAATGAAGGTCGAAAGTTATGTTAATTCACAGATAATTAAATAACCTTTGGAGGGCTGAGATCGCCTACGTGCTGAAGAGGCGTAGATGGAATTTAAAATAAAGAGAAGTAAATTAATCATGGTAATAAATTCAGTCCTTACTGAACTTTGAGACAAACTAATTTTAACTTTAAATTTACGGATACCGTGTCCAAGGATTCTAAAAATAGGAATGGGGATATACCATTCCAAATGAAAGAAATGATGGCACAAAAATTCCTGATGTGGAATTAATAAATGCGCAAATACATCAAATATGTATGGTGTATGGATTAGTTATAACAGATTTAATAGGAGAGATAAGCAAACATAGACTGGACTCTCTAGACAGGTCTTTTTCTTCAACACCAGAAAATGCTACAAATCACATATATTAACAAAATAACTCAAGTTATGCTTTTAAATACCCACGTCTGACGAAGACACATTTATGGATGACATGCAAAGCTTCCATCTCGTTCAAAAAATGTCTAAACTCTCTGCTATATACAAACGTTTTCTCAGATGAATCACTAAAATGGCTTCAAGCGAATGAATCCTTTAACTTTTATAGAATACCTCGGTGTATGAATCAGTTAGAAGTAATTTAAAATAAGAGAAAATTAAATTTTCATAAAATCGATAACATTAGCGTAACTTCCCTATGCTTTTTCTATAAATACTTTCATGGTAATTGTTCTGATAAACTTTTTGTGGTTTCATTTTTAAATATTGTTGTTTTTATACCCCACCTGCCCAAAGACGAGTTGTACATATAGGAACAAGTTACAACTTCCTAGAGACTCTGAGGTGTTATGATAGCTGCAGTAAGAATAGTAAGAATGTGTTTTGATGTAAGGAATTCCGTGGTATATTCGCGTCAGTAATTGCGGCTGGCTAAATTTAAAACGAGACAGATTAAAGGCCACCTTCTCTCACCCCTTCTTTTGGCCTTGTATCACATTTTTGCATTTGTAAAATAAATATTACTTTTCCCTATGGTACTTAGACTTTATGAATTTAAGCGCAGTACTAGATTAGCGGCGAGGTCTCATCATTTTATGCTTGAAATGACTAGATGTAACTGTAAGTTTTATACTAACAGTTTCTTCTATCGCACTTCTCGATTGTGGAACTCTCTTCTTGGTCTTTAATCCCCTGTCAACTTGGATTTTCAAAAATGTAACTGCAATGACAATCATTACCTTCTTTCTGTTCTCCTTAATAGGGTGTTTCTCATATTCTCTCATACTCAGTAGCTTCTTGCTTCTTAGTGGCTATATTACCTTGATTCGGGTGAAATGATAAAATAATTCCTACAAGACCCTACGTTAAATGCTTTTAATTCTAAGCGTAAATGTTAGTTTGTTTTTAGTTTACTTAATACTTCCTATTTACACGCATGTCCATTCCACGTTATTCTCAGCAAACTTTTGTAGAACGACCACGCTGTTGCCTCAGATTTCTTCTTCATCTGAGAGGAGATTTTTCAGCATTCTCTTCCATATAGATGGTCTAATATTACATATCATTTTAGCATTCTTTTCTTTGTTTCTTATGAAATTTTCATGATTCTTTATATATATATATATATATATATATATATATATATATATATGAAATATATATATATATATATATATGTATAATTTTATCATATAGCCCAAAACATTTTACTTACTACAAAGATGCACCTTCGTTTCAGTGCATTTAAAATTGCACTTTGACAGGTGAGAACCTATATGGTTAAGAAAAATTCTGTTTGTAAGCAAGCCGCATGTCAAACGTCACTTACTTTTTTTGCTTTCTTTGAAAAAATAGAAGATAAAAAATTACATGAAGGCAAAAAAGTGACTTTCATTGATTACATAACCAGCAGGGACAACACCAAAACAAATATACACAATTTAGCTTTAAAATCCCCACCCAAAAAACACTCCCAACTTCGACTACAACAATCCCTCCTTCTTCTTTAATCATATTAATATCTCCTACTCTCACCTTTTCTCCCCACTTTTAAGTGAGTGAATTGTTTTTGTCTATATGATAAAATTGTAATAAATAATGATCGCTCTACTATCGGTATCGAGCCCTTTTGGATTAATGCTGTGAACGTTAGAATTTATATATTACTTTCGTTCTCATCGCCTCGTGTATATATATATATATATATATATATATATATATATATATATATATATATATATATATATATATATATAAGCGATTCACCCTGAGCAAAGTGTTAATGCCACTAAGACGCAAGGGGCTACTGGGAGGGAAAGAAAATGAAAAAAAAAAAAGAACGGAAAACCCAATCTTAAGCAAGGAAAAAATACTACTTTTACTTATGTTAAAAAAAACTGGGGAGGAGTGTGAATTGGACGACAGCCGATACTATCTTATATGTTTTGAGGATAAGAAGAAAAAAGAACGAAAAAACAATTAGTAAATAAAAGTTCAAATTTCACAGGAAAACGTTAGAAGCATAGATTTGAAGTAGGTTTTCATAGTCGAACCTCACTTGGATTGAGGAGAATATATATATATATATATATATATATATATATATATATATATATATATAGCCATGTTCTGTCAGTAATGACTCAGGTCACGCAGCTTGTGACCTTTATGCAGTAAATCTACAAAAATCTATAATATATTGTCTTTTATGCATAATCATCAAAGTAACCTTCATAATTTTGTTGTATCAGGTGCATATTGTTACACATTAGAAAATGCAGCTGTTGATCTATTCTATTCAGCATGTATTGTATATATATATATATATATATATATATATATATATATATATATATATTATACAGCATATGTTTTTTTTATTCAGATATTTCTCATTTAATAATTTAGACAAGTTTTCTTTACTTATTTTGAATAGGAGCCTCTCGCAATTACAGACGTGTCTCTTAGTATCCTTATTAAAGGAAGAAAGAAAATTACCATGTTGATGCATATTCATTTTATTCCGAGTACTTTCGACATTAGCTTAATCTCATCATCAGGGTCTTGTTTCTTCTAAGACAAATTAAGATTAAACACTAAATTCTAGAAGCTACATTTATTAAAAAATTGAAAGCAAACTTTAATAAAATTAATTATGAATATAGCACAAACGTTTTAAAATGTTTACAGTAGATAGTTTAAAATATCTAGATTTTAACTAATAGTTTCATATAGTTTGCTTTTTTATATTTTGACATTTCAGTAACTTCGTGATATGTCCCGGAAAGGGGTATATTTGATCGAAGTAGTTAAGTCGATTTGGCTAGTATAACCAAGTAGTACACAGTAGCAGTAATCGACTGGTACAAGTCGCAAGTAATAAGTGTAGACCAATAGGATAGCCAATGGCGTAGTCCAATTGCCGTCGTCATAAACACACGTCCGTCTGTATTTATGACGGACACCAGCCAATCATATTCCACTGAGGGGGGGACACAGGTGTATGCACATTCCATTATATGACTTAGTTACCTTCCTTGACGTTTACATCATAAAATTTTAAAATCCTACAGTACATAACATTAGCGTTTGCCACTTCACAATTAAAAATTTAATTTTCAGATGAACACAACAATTTCGTCTTAGAAAAATGATGAATACGACAAATGTTTGTCTTAAAAAAACAAGATCCTAATTATGATATTATGCTAATGTCGAAAGTACTCGGAATTAAATTGAATAGGAATCAACATGTTCATTTTCTTTCTTACTTTAATAAGGATACTAAGAATGCTGTCAGTAATTACGAGAGGATTCTATTAAAATTAAGTAGACATAACTTGAAGGGGCACGATGAAGTAATGGCGCGGATTGAGGTATCAGAGAACCGAGTTCGAATTCCACTCGAATCTATTACATTCATTCACGTGCTAATAATATTGGCAAAGGTATTAATCCCCTTTTTTCTTTACTTCTTATGCATATTCATTCATATTTGCTGTTCATATTTGAGCATAAAGTAGAGAACAGGGAAAATAAAGAAAATAAAAATGACACATTTGAATTAGAAATAAGAGAAAAATTATCAGAGAAAAGAAAAACTATGCAAAAGAAAAGTGAAATGTGTTAGGCGAAGAAAACATTTCGAAATGAAGAGGAAAAATAAGAACTGATGGGGATTCTTTTTCTGTGACAGTGAACGCGCAAAACAAAGGGAGAGTAAAAACAAAGGGAGAGTAAGGTGAGAGTGAATAAAAAAAAGAGAGAAATTTAGAATGGGAAATTCGAGGTTGGACTCAGCAAGATTTAAAGTTAAAAAGCAATAAAGTGAAGACATTAAGAAAAGAAGGACGACTGAGAAAGAATAAGACTGAAATAGAAAGAAAGAAAGAAGGAAGGAAGGAAAGAAAGAATGAAAGAAAGGATGATGTGGTGGAAATGCAGAAAGAAATGTGCAAACTGGAAGAGATGAAGTCAAGGAGAAACATATCGAAAAGAAGGAAATAAACAAAAAAATGGGAAATGGAAAGCGAGTAAATCATAAATATAAAGATAAACAAGATAACAAGGAAGAATTCAAGAAAGAAATACAGAAAGAAAAAAAGAAGAAAGAAAGAAAGAAAGAAAGAAAGAAGGACAAAAGGGAAAGAAAGAAAGAAAAAAGCAAGAAAGATGGAAAGAAAGAAAAAAGAAAGAAAGAAGGAAAAAGAGAGAAATAAAAGAGAAAGAAAAGAGAAAAAAGAAGGAAAGAAAGAAAGAAAGAAAGAAAGAAAGAAAGAAAGAAGGGAAAGAAAACGTGAAAAGAAGAAGTAAGACTAAACTAAAAGATTGGACAAAAAGACCTGAAAGAAAGAAGAAAGTAAGAAAATAGAAATAAAGAAAGAAAGAAAGAAAGAAAAGAAAAGAAAAAAAAGTTGTAAAGCAGATGTGATGAATAAAAATAATGAAAAAAAAAGATATAAAAGAAAAGAAAAAAATGAAATAAAGGGAAAAAGACAGAAAGTGAAAAGTAACAGGAAGAAATAAGGATGAATAAAAAGAAGAAGAAAAAGAACAAAGAAAACTTGCAAGAAAGAAAGCAATAAAGAAAGAAAGCTTGAAAGAAAGACCGAAAGCTTGATAGAAAGAAGAAGAAAAAAACGGAGAGAAGGAAAGAAAGAGAGAAAGGAAATAATCAGTGAAATGAAGAAAGAAGCATAAATAAAAAAGAAAAACCGAGAACAAATACTTTCAATAAATAAATAAAGAAAGAAAAAAATAAATAAAGAAAGAAAGAATGAAAACCTGAAAAGACAAGTGGATAAAAAAATCAAATAAATAAGAAATAAGAAAAAAAATGAGAGGAATAAATAAAAAAGGGGATGAGACAAGAAAAGAAATAAAGAACGAAAGAATGGAAGCGACGAAAGAAAGAAAGAAAGAAAGAAAGAAAGAAAGAAAGAAAGAAAGAAAGAAAGAAAGAAAGAATATGTTGTAAAGCAGATGTGATAAATAAAAATAATGAAAAAAGAAAAAATAAAAGGAAAGGAATAATAGAATTAAGATGCAAGAAAGAGAGAACGAAGTGAAGAAAAAAGAAAGAAAAGAAATAAAGAAAGAAAGAAAGAAAGGAAGAAAGAAAGAGAGAAAGAACACGTTGTAAAGCAGATGAGATAAATAAAAACAATGAAAAAAGAATGAAATAAAATGAAAGGAATAATGGAATGAAGCGGCAGGAAAGAGAGAATTAAATGAATAAAGAAAGAAAAGAAAGAAAGAAAGAAAGAAAGAAAGAAAGAGAAAAAGAACACGTTGTAAAGCAGATGAGATAAATAAAAACAATGAAAAAAGAATGAAATAAAATGAAAGGAATTATAGAATTAAAATGCAAGAAAGAGATAACGAAATGAAGAAAAAAGAAAGAAAATAAATAAAGAAAGAAAGAAAGAAAGAAAGAACACGTTGTAAAGCACATGCGATAAATAAAAACAATGAAAAAAGAATGAAATAAAATGAAAGGAATAATGGAATGAAGCGGCAGGAAAGAGAATTAAATGAATAAAGAAAGAAAAGAAAGAAAGAAAGAAAGAAAGAAAGAAAGAAAGAAAGAAAGAAATAGGAAAAGAAAAAGAAGGAAAACAAGATAAATGAAAAGAATGAAAAGTGAAAACAAAGGAAAAGTGCAAGGAAGAAACAAAATGCCAAGAGACTGGACGAGCAATGCTTGATGTAAAGTAGCTGGTGATATTGGAGAGTAAACAGAGTTTAATGAGAGGCGCGTCTGTTAAGCAAGCCCCATATTGCTACTCTTCTTCTCCCAGCCCTTTAAAAGCCTTCACAGACTGTGGGCAAGATTTAAAAGCAGCCGTAGGGACAAGCAGACACATACACGCATACGCACGAGACCCCATGACTCGGTCCACCCCACTACACACACACACACACACACACTCACACACACCTTGCTTTCTGCTCTCTACTCTCCTTCTGTCGCTTTTCTCCCTCCATCTGAGCGTCAATGTCATTTACACTCTCACGTTCAGACAGCAAAATGCACACTTTCGTCCACGAACGAAAGCCTGGCCGGACGTATGCACACTGGCCGTCGCACATGCACGGATAGTTTATTAATTTCATGTTTCCCAATATTATCTTGTTATTACTGCGACAAGATCTTTTGTGGTGAACGTCGGTCGTGTCTCTGTCCTTTTTGCAGTCCATCTGTCCGTCTTGGGAGATCTACGAACGACACCGTCGGAGACGTTAAATGGTACAACTGGACAGCAATGAACGAACGAAAGAAAGAAAGAAAGAAAGAAAGAAAGAAAGAAAGAAAGAAAGAAAGAAAAAGATAGGAACGGCAAATGGACATCGGATGTGAAATACGAACAGCAAAGAAAGAATTTAAGGCAGATATCGAAACGGATAAGAAAGAAAGAAAGAAAGAAAGAACATGAGGTAAGAAAGAAAGAAAAAGAGAGGACGAAAGAAATACAGAATTAAAGAAAATCATGAGATAAAAAGAAAGAAAACAGAAATAAATAAGAAGGAAAGAATGAATGAATGAAAGAAAATTCAATAAGAAAGAAAGAAAGAATGATAGAAATAAAAAGATAGAAAGAAAGAAAGAAAGAATGAAAATAAAATGATTTAAGGAAATGGATAAGAAAGAAAGAAAGAAAGAAAGAAAGAAAGAAAGAAAGAAAGAAAGAAAAAAAGAAAAGGAGAAAGAAATGAGAAAGAAAGAATGAATGAAAGAAATATTGTATAAGAAAGAAAGAAAGAAAGAAAGAAAGAAAATAATATAAGAAAACGGTTAAGAAAGAAAGAAAGAAAGAAAGAATAGGAGAAATAAATGAGAAAGAAATAACAAATAAATGAAAGAAAAATTCTATAGGAAAGAAAAAAAAGTAAGAAAAAGAATGAAAGAGAGAAAGAGATATATTCATATGCGAAAACGGATAAGAAAGAAAATCAGAAAGACAGAAAGAAAGAATAAAAAGAAAATGATTTAATAAAACGGGTAAGAAAAAAAGAAAAACAAGAAAAGAAGAAATCAATGAGAAAGTAAGAATGAATGAAAGAAAACAAAGAAAAATTCTATGAGAAAGAAATATAGAAAGAAAGTAAGGAAGTAAGAACGAAAAGGAAAAAAATCAATAAGAAAGAAAATAAAAAGGAATGAATGAATGAAAGCAAAGAAAAATGCATGAAAGAAAGAAAGAAAGAAACATATAAAGAATCAAACGAACGGACAGCAAATATAAATAGAAACAAACAGAAAGAAACAATTAATGAAAAACCTTAAAATATGTATAAAGCATTTAGAAAACTCAAAAATATCAGCATGCAAAAGAAAGAAAGAGAGAATGAAAGAATAAGAGAATAGAAAAAGAACGAAAGAAAGCTGGAAGAAAATTACAGAAAAAGAAGAACAATTTAATGAAAGGAGGATAAAAGGAAAATGAATTAGAAAAAAAAGTGAGGGAATCCGACACAAAGCTTATTAACGTTAAACATTATTTATTAACGTTATGAGGTATAGGAACTTGGCTATATTCAGATTAAGAGAAGGATCAAATACCGATAGATTTTCTGAATGGACCACCAAAATCTACGAGAATTCACTGACATGGATACGAGGAGGACAAAAAAGTGAACATTACATCATTACAAAGGAACTGTAGACGTATTCACAGATTTAAAACGTTAAGTCTCATTTTAAATATATTCCTAAAGACTTTGCAAACTGGTGCCGGATTAAAATTATTCAGACCAAGTTACGGGTTTATTTCGCATAAAACCTACCTATGTTCCAGCATTTTCTTCTATTTTGGCGATACAAATTTATTCATGGGCGGCTATTAAGCATACGCATCTAACGTTACATGGTAAACGTTTCAGCTCAAATTTCAAATAAAAACATTTATCTTAGGCTAATGATTTTTGAATCCAATCAAGTATGAGTGTACGCATATCCCTCTCTCTTCCTCTCTCTCTCACTCTCTCTATCTATATATATATATATATATATATATATATATATATATATATATATATATATATATATATATATATATCGCCCTTTGCATGGAGTATTGCTGCCAGATATGGTCTGGTGCACCTTCTGTTTACCTCGGAGTTCTTGACAAGATTCAGAGACGGATATGTAATATAATTGGCTCTGATCTGGCATCTCGTCTACAGTCACTTTCTCACAGACGCGCTGTAACCTCTCTCTGTCTTTTTTACAAATACTTTCATGGTAATTGCTCCGATGAACTGCTTTCACTGGTTCCCAGACTTCATGAATTCAAGCGGCATACGAGGCTGGCATCCCGCTCTCACCCTTTCACTGTAGAAACTTTTAAATGTAGCAGTCTCTTCTACTCCAATAGCTTCATACCTCGCACCTCTCGCCTGTGGAACACCCTTCCCGATTACTGTTTCTCAGAGAGCTATAATCTCCAACTATTCAAATCTAATGTCAATCGACATCTCCAGTTACCTTGATCTATCCATTATCCCTCTCCTCATCATTTCCTCTATCACTGCTATCTGCTCTCGCTCCAAATCTTCTGCAACCCCTGCATCCTTGTGACTTCACGCCTTGCTCAGGGAGTAATGCTTAAATATATATATATATATATATATATATATATATATATATATATATAAATTTCTGTCTCTCTCTCCATATATAAACATAAATTTCTCTGTATACATATATATATATATATATATATATATATATATATATATTTACACGTTTCATTAAATAATATACAAGTGTTGTCTATTTATTTTATGTAAAATTTTTCGTATCTTCTGATAAGTTTGATAACATTATCATTAACCGAAAAAAAAATTCACAATATTTATCCATTATGTTTTAATATAATCTAAGCTTTCGGCTTACTCAAGCCATTATCAAAGATGTAATTACAAACATATCAAACAATATACGGATACGACAGTGATGATAGTCTGTCATTGTTTAGTTTACATAGTAGATCACTAAGCAACGATGAACACGCATATAAGACGCTAGAAACGAAAATCAACCGCATCTCATGACGTCACAATGAACAAAATCAACTATGGATTCTCTAAATGAAATGAGGAAGGTCTATAATTTGATATAAACTTAAATTTATACCAACGGCTTTCCTTATTTCATAAATTCACTTAGTAGTCATGTGACGTCATGAGATGCGGTGTGATTTTCGCTTCTAGCGTCTTATATGCGCGTGTTCATCGTTGCTTAGCGATCCACTATGTAAACTAAGCAATGACAGACTATCATCACTGTCGTGTCCGTATATTGTTTGATATGTTTGTAATTACATCTTTGATAATGGCTTGAGTCAGCCGAAAGATTAGATTATATTAAAAAATAATGGATAAATATTGTGAATTTTTTTTTTCGGTTAATGATAATGTTATCAAACTTATCAGAAGATACGAAAAATTTACATAAAATAAATAGACAACACTTGTCTATATTATTTAATGAAACGTATAAAATGAAAATATGCTGCCTAAATACACAATAATATATATATATATATATATATATATATATATATATATATATATATATATATATATATACTAAAAGATTGGACAATATATATATATATATATATATAAGCAAATATATGGATATAGATCCGACAGTATGAAGAAAAATATACAGAAAAAACAAACAAAAATCTTAATATATAATTATGTTGTATTAATGTTAATATAAAGTTAACGAACTGTTTATATGAGAAAATAGTTCAATCGAATTTGTTTAATATTTTAATATTTGGAAATCATCTTCGAATACGTTTTCACAACATCGCCCACGTGACGACAACGTGATCATATTTCAAACGGAACGCTGATCTTATATAAAAATTTCAGTTATCTGTTTGGATTAGTTGCGCTCTTATGTCCATCGTCTTTTTCATGTTGAATTTTATATGTTCTAATGTCAATAATGTTTTATAAATAAGTCCTGATGATGGTCTAAAATAGACCGTAACGTCCGAAGTTGACTTTATATTGACATTAATACAACATAATTATATATTAAGATTTTTGTTTGTTTTTTCTGTATATTTTTCTTCATATATATATATATATATATATATATATATATATATATAAAAGAAAGAACAGTAAGATATATTATAGATATTTTTATTTTTACAAAATAGTGCTCAATGTAGAAGTGTGTAGCGAAATATATATATATATATATATATATATATATATATATATAGTCGATTACATTTCATTCACTTACGTGTTAATACATTTGGGAAAGCTATGAATCCAATTCTTCTCCCCACCCAGCTATGGGTAAATAGCAAAACAGACTTGGTTCTATAGCCTTGGACGGCAACCGGTCTAGAAGGACCACTCTGAATTCAAAACTAGTAGAGGGTCATTTAGGGACCTTGTGGCACACGGTGCACCAGGTGTCTGTAATCGGCACTTCAAAAAGTGTGGTTGGTTCTACAGAAAGCATTCACCACTATAATCAAATCATATGTGTAGGTGTTTGACGGTCGGTTCATAGGAAGTGAGCTGCTTGACCCCTCATACGTCGAATACGAGGGGAGTGTCCAAGAATATATATATATATTAGACATTTCAATAACTTAGTTACATTTGACGTTTGTACGTGTGTCTACATGTTAAAATTTTACTCGTAAAAGTTTCATTTTCATATGAACACAACAATTTTTTCTTAAAAAGAAGGAGACCCTGAGGACGATAATGTGCTAATTTCGAAATTACTCGAAATAAAATGAATATGAATCAAGCTGGTAATTTTCTCGGCTTCGACAACTTTAACACGTTGTTTGATTATTGATCTTTCCATGGTTAAATTGCCAGAACTTCAGATGTTAAATCTGAAAGAAAAAGAAAAAAAAATCATTAGATGCGTAAACTTAATTCACATTAAAAAACGGTCCAAATTATTGGAACTCCCTATATATGGCTTGGACATAACAGCAAAATTGTCCAAATCGTGTAAAAGCATAATTATTTATCCTACAAAATGTTTAATATCTAAAAAGCGCTAAACTACTTCAATTTCTTTTGCCATCTTTTCAAATACGACGTCTAACCATCTTGACACCATTTTTGTAAGAATCACTGGAAAACCCTTTCAGTTATTCAGCTAGAATGATAATAGATTAAAATCATTCAGTGTCAGCCTCACTGTCTTCCGAAATAATCAAAGGTGAGACGAAAAAGATCATTCAGGCCATCAGAAATGGTATGAACATTCATACTGTGGCTTCCATCTTCAAAGTCACTTCAAGAGAATGGTGAATAAGTTTAAAAAAGAGGGAACAGTGGAGACAGAAA